CCCCCCCGACTCTATCGGTCTTTTGAATATTGTATCGACAGGCCATCATCTCACATTGTGTAGATCACTACAGTTTCCTGTTTAATGCAGTGTCCACAAACACACAGTGAACGTCTCGCTCATGGTGTGTCTAAGAAACAACTCAGAGCTTTTCTATTTTCATCCTATTTCGATTAGACAGAATCTATCCAAGCTGTAGATTATCTAGATCGTCGTGAGTTTGTATGTACGTATGTGTGTATGTATGTGTGTGTGGGTGAGTGCGTGTGCGTGAGTATGTGTGTGCACGCGTATGTAATACTAATGTGCCTATAAAATTGATGTGTAATTCCATAATATGTTTCATTTTAAGCTCATAGAGCATTGCATAAGTGGATATGCGCTATATCTATGCCATCCATTATTTATATATTATTATTAACGACCATACATCTAAAAGCAGTCGCACCAATACATGTATTAATTCTTGACACTCTGTGTAAACATGCGTGTAGTGACTACTCTACCTTTAATTTTAAGGCCATCTTGAGACTCCTGTGTGTGGATGGCTGGCGGGTGCTCTGGTGTGGTTTGCTCCTTCTTTCCTATCAAACATCTATCGTCCTGATCTTTCCTCCTTCTTTTTAGTGTTTGTTACTCTCTTGTAATACCTCTAATCTTCGGCACTCATATGACCTCATTGTGTTGCAAATGCCGTAACAGACTTACTAAAACTAAAAGTGGCTACTCCACCTTTCATTTTATGGCCATCTTGAGATCCCTGTGTTCAGTAGAGTCTACGGACATAGGGAGAGACAACACAAGGATCAATCCTCATGCAGAGACATTTTTACTGGCGTTGGGCAAAGGGCGTCACATTTTCATTTGAAGCTCTTTGAAAAAAATATTATGTTTTGTGAGAATGGAATTTCAAACACTAAATGTTAACTCTTGCCAGCAAATCGTGACTGATGACATAATTTAATCAGCACAGACATGGGAAGGAACAATTTATTTGTTTATGAGCCATTGTGTGGTAGAACCTGCTTAATAGAAATTAAGTAACTGGGATTTCTTTCTTTTCTAAGGGAACTTTAGAACTGAACTTTATTTATTTATTTAACGAGATGAGACGCATATGTTGAACAGCAATGCAATGAATGATCATGTAGAATCTAGCTTTGTGACCTTTTTTCTGCAATGGGTTTGGAGTCGTTTGCACAATGTTGATTATGTGTAAGCTGTTCTTGCTACTGTTTCTCATCTCGAGTTTTAATTTGAGATGAGAGAATTGAATGCATAATGAGTAAAGTTTTTTTAAAAAAAGGATGGTAAGTTAAAAAAAACAACCCGACACATTTCGCAAAGATAGTCCGGGTAGATAGATAGTGGCATGCATTATACGAGTACACCATTCCTTCATTGAGAACTGTGGGTGTATGCAGGGTCGCGCGGCTACAACTTTGGTGCTACTCTAAGGTTTTGAGATTGGTTGTTTGCTATTTTTGTGTAAGTAAGCATAATGATTATTTATGTAAATTGAATTACTTTGTCCTTGTGCGCATTGAGTTCTCACTTATTATGATATTCTATGATTTGTAGGTTATAAGTTCTGAGGTCTTTTGCAAGTATTCAGTTTTCTGCTTTGGCCTTTAGTTCATCACAATTACTAGTTTGTACTCAGGTATTCATCTGACTGATTTGTCCAGTATTGTGAGTTCTGTCATGTTATCTTTCTATTATTTTCTTCATGTTCTCTTTTTTAATATCCCAGGACTGTAACTTTATTTCTTGTTCCTTACTGTTTAGTTTTTGTTTTTAGTTTGGCCTTTTTTTTCTCTACCGTCTGGCCTTATGATTTGGTTATGGTCATGGTGTGCTGTTTGTTGGGTTTTTTCCAATCGCCCTCCTCTATTCTATTTCTGCTACCAGTAGTTTCAGTTCGCCTGTTCTTTCCTTTGCCTAAATATAGGTTTTCGTGTTGATTTTCTTCGTAAATTTCAAGTACTGGTACTTTGACTATTGACTGCTCAGAGCTCTTCAAACAACCCCACTTTTACACCTCCCCAGGGCAGTGCTACTGACTGAAGTGTCCTTAGGCCATTCCCAAAGGGAGGGGATATTAACATGTTCTTATGCACTGTAGAATAATTGTAAATGGGCTGATTCATCAATGTCATTCTCATAACAGCCTGAACTGCTACAGGAAACTGCTGCTTTTCCATTCCTCATCCTTACTACCATAATTTTATCTCTACTTCTTTTGATGTTTGTCACTCTCTTGTGATCCGCTATTTCCGGGGTGCCTTGATAGTCGAAGCAGACTTTGTGCTGTTGAAGCTAGAGAGGTGAGCAGAGTAAGCCTGATTCCCTGTATGGACTTCTCTGTTGCTTTTTCCCTGCACTGGATAGCCATTATTATCCTTATGATGTTTTTCTTCTTACTCAGACCTAAAACTATCTTTGAATAGGTCTTGGTTTGTTGCACTGAACTAAATGAGTATGAAATTATTAAAATACATATCTGCTCATGTATTATGCACTTTGATCTAAGAACATAATTATCGTTTTAATCTCTGATTATCACCCACTTGAGTTCTTCTGAATCTTTATTTCGGATTTTGGAAACTGGTATTGCTTTGTTATTATTAAAAACCATGAAGTGTTATCCTGAGTCGTTTCTTTCACGTCTTTTGAACAAGAGTACGGAGAGTGTGGATGATTGATTTGATTGTGCATGGTGTGTTACATGTGTATTTTTTTTCAGCTTTTCCAGTTCTTTTTTGTCGGTGGTTGGCGGGTGCTCTGATGTGGTTTGCTTCTTCTTTCCTATCCAACATCTGTCGTCCTTATCTCCCCTTATTCTTTTTGTGTTTATTACTCTCTTGTAACACCCCTAATCTTCTGGCGCTCATACGACCTTATGCAGTTGCGAGCGCCGTAAAACCTCTACTAAAAAAAGTTATTTTTCTTCCTTCCACCGTTTGATCCAGATCTGTCAACTGAGGCTTCTTCCACCCTTAGTGCATGTTATAGCCGTTACGGAATACGTACTATTATCATACGTACCTATTTCTCCGTCAATACATGATTCTATTACATTATGCTATAGGATGTCTTCATCAGTTACCCAGAGATTCATCAGAATTGGTTCGAGGGTACTTTCGTCGTCACTTTTCTGTACCTAACTGTGGATTGCATACTTTTCTTCGTTTTTCCGTTTGAACATACAGAGCATGTACATGGGACCTCGGAGATTAACACGCACTTTTTAGCTTTCTGTTGCTGTAGTTACCGAGAAGTTCATGATTCCTGCGAAAGAAAAAACTCTTCAATTTCGATTGACACTCGATAGTGTCAACACAACTTCAATAAGGGAAACAACCTGAAAAATAAATTTCGATACAGTATATATTCTTGAGTTATGTCCCTTGTCTAAGTGAGCGGGTCATGAATTCTTTCCTTGTCTTAGCATTTCTTTCTTTCTTTTTTCTTTGTTGTAAATTAAAGTCTCATTTCAAATTGGCTATCCCGAAAAATGCTGATTTGAGAATAGTGCAGTTAAGGTTTTTGAACCCTTCAGTTGTTTTTTTTTTAAAGACAAGGAGAATTGTCTTTATAATAAACCAAACAATACACACCAACGAAACCGAATTTCTCCTTTTGGTGTAGGTCAAGATTTCAGGAAAACCCTGAAATCTGGGTTAGCCCGCTTGTCCTTAAAAGCGACTAATCGATCCAAGTAGCATGTATTTTAAAGTATTCAAGCGTTAGCATAATCTCGTGGTCGTAGCTTCTTGATCAGCATAAGAATATTAGAGCAATGCCTCTTTATTTCTTAAAATATGGTACTGTTGTTTCGGA